CCCCCCCCCGGGGCCGGGGGTCCCCGCTCCCGCCCGCTCGGCGGAAACCAGGAGCCCGCTCCGGGGTAAGGGCGCGCACCCGCATGGTTGATCACGTCCCGCCGCACCCGCCAGCCTCTGGGGTCCGTGTCCTCGTCGTCTACGAGAAGCTGAGCGTACGTTCCCACGCTCACCGGGGACCTCCTTGCTCCCGCCCCTTCCCGCGGTTCCCTAGCAGTCTGGCGCACGCCCTGGGCCCCCAGCCCTCTCCGCGTTTGCTGGCCTGGCTTGCACTCCCACCCCACGCTACAGGGACCCCGCGGTGCGCCGCTCACCCGACCCTGGCGCCCTGGCCCGGCACCAGCCCCTGGCCTCTCCCTTCTCAGGGTCCGACGTCCATCTGCGCCCATCTCCCCCTAAACTTCGCGTCCTGACCCCGGAGCGCACCCTGCGCGGGGGCGTCTCTGCACTTCCTACGTGGCTACGGAGCCCGAGGTCGCTTGCCAGGGCAGGGCGGCGGCCGGGTCTCTGCCTACCCCGAGCTTCCACTCATTCGCCCTTCGGGGCTCCCGGGTTCTGCTTTGCTCACTCGCCAGGGCTTCATTGTTTCTGATGGCGCTCCTTTTCTCACTTTGGTCTTTAGTGTTTTCATCCTCTGACGGGGTTCATCAGACAAGTCCCATTCCCGGTGGTAAATATTTTTAATGTGGTGAACCCCGAAACTACAGGGGCGACCAGTCTATGTCGCAAATAGGCTCTAGCAGACATATCCAAGACACTCTTACCCGCAGCGTTATCGAGCCTAGTGTGTGACTGCCCCATGTACAAGTCCTCTGCGCTGTTTGGTTTCTCATGCTTGAGAGATGGGCTCAAAATGCAGCTCCCAGTGATGATACGGACAAGGCCTTTGAGTGTATCACTGAATCACACAGGCCACACCATTCATTCATCCTAGAGCTACCGCCCTAGTGAAGCTACCGTTAACATTTATCCTAATGTCAAAAAAGTCAGGCTCTGCTGGCAGCTCTGATAGGGGCGCTTATCCTGCCCAGTCCCTTGGTCGTTTCTTTCTTGCCTGCTGTAGAAGAAATTGGTGACCCACCACAATAACCAGCTTAACCAAATTCTCTGCCCAGGACATCGCCCCACAAGCACCCCATTGCAATAATAATGCAGGAAATAAGAAAATGCAGGAAATAACATTGCCACTGTCTATGGCATTCTGTAGCAGTGTCTTGTAGGCTGCGTAACTTTTTCCAGAAATTGTTTTTGTATGATCCTCTTCCCCACAGCCTTATCAAATCTTCCAAACCAGAGAAAGCATTTTAAGTATTCCCTCCTCCAAGATTTTCCATCAAACTGGGCAAACAGAAGGAGTTTAATAAATATGTTGATGCGACTTGAGGCAAGCATTACTCCAGTGAAATTTGATTTTCTTAATGATAAAAAAAGAAAAACAATTGTTAGGCAGACATCTCACTGAAACAATGGTTAATAATTATGGTGGTAGTGATTTGAATGGCAGCCTTGACACCCCGAGGCTACCAAAGGGACAGATCGATTCTCCTCCAACTGCTGCTTGTATAGATACAAAAGAATCATCCACCAGCCTTAGAGCATTGGGGACATTGTGTATCACAGAGCAGCTGGTTGGCTAAATAAGGCTGTCAGCTGTCCCTGAAACCAACCAACCCCCCCTAAAGCTGAAGAGTGACTGGAAAGGATTGTCCCCAACCTTTAGAGGTAGAGATCAGTAGATGCTCTTATTTTATACATGGAGCTTTACACTGTTTGCTTAATGTCTTATTGTGTAGAAAATGGAATAGGCATAAGCCAGGTGAATGAATGAGAGGCTGTCTGGGTATGCACCTGCTCTTGGGGATCTGGCTGGGTATGTCCTGATGGTTGGGTAAAAGGAGGCCTACCTCATGAGACACAATTGAAAGCAAACTGCTCAGGTTTGGTTTTCTTACTCAGAAAAGCCTTTTTCTCCAGTATCTAACCATCTTGAAATTTCCCCTTTTAATGTTTCCAAGCATTTTTATTGGGATTTTTAATTCATCTAATGTTTACATAAGAGGTTTTTTGGAGGGGCGGGGAGTGTATGGTCCATGCATTAACGCAGAGGTAGTACACACTTACTCTGTTACTTACTTTACTCCTAAGAGCCTTGAAAGGGTGAGTATATGACCTCCCTTTTAGGAAGGAGGAAACCTAGGGAAGAGCATAATGAACACTTTGCCTGTCATTGTACAAGTGGTCTTAAAAAGTTTATGGAAACTACATATTATGAAAAACCTAAGCATGGATTTCAAAAACTTTTGCACCAAATAAACTTATATTTTAAGCCCATTTTCCCACAGGTTTACTTGTTTGTTTTTTTAAGGACCTTTGTATGTGGTATTGCCTTCTCTCTTGTTTATTATCTCTCTTGCGCATCCTCCTTTCCCTTCTTTTCCTTTTTATCCCAGAACATTACAATTGTTGTAATTTCCCCTTTACTGATCGACAAACTTACAGCCTCCAAATAATCACCATGATAGTACTTATGGATGAGGAAATTGAGGCTTGACCACAAATTCAGAGAGGGGATTATGGTTAGACTGATTTCTACCTGACTCCAAGGCCAGTGAAAACCTTCACAAGCTTCCTTTCCTAACTCAGGACCCATTCCCCTTTCCCTCACTTTCTGTCTCAACAATACATCTATAGTGACCTTCCTCCCAAATGTATTATCTACATCCTATGACATAGTAGGTGTTGAGAAGACATTGTCCAAAACTTTATAGAGCTATAACTGTATCCTTATTGTAATTATCATTGAACAATTTTCCTTTTTTACCCCCTGTTGCTGTCCCATACAATGGCATGAGAGACATGCAATAGCAGTCTTTCCTGGTACTCCTGAGAGTTGGCTTAGAACACTATGTGCCTGACTATCCCTGGCCTGTGCTTGGTGCAGGCCCACATGCACTTTTCTCCATGGACCTATAGCCAAGGAGCCCACAGTAGACCAAAGCCCAAGATAATGCCAGTAGAAGTTAAGTTCCCCTTCTCCATGTTTTAGTCTTGTTGGTGCTTATCAGTGACCAAATTGTACTGTAATGATCTGGTTTTGTGTCTTCCTATTGAATAGTAACTCCCTCCTGGACTTTAACCTCAGTGCAGGGAAAGACCATTTGAGTCCTACTCACTTCTAGCCCCATTATCTGCACATAGTAGGTGCTCATAGTAAGTTGTTAGAATAATTCATTAATTAACGAACGAACAAGAAAATAAACCTTTCAAGTCCAGGAATGGTTATCTTCCACCAGTGTCCAGCAGAGTACCCAGCATCAAAAGGTTTTCTATAAACATTTGTGAACTAAACTATTGAATTAACCCTGACGTCTTAGAGGCTCTTCAAATCATTAAGTTCCTATATTTAGTGGATCAATCATCAGCTGGTTGCAGCTCATCTAGCTTTTTCTTTTTCTTATTAGGGTCTCTAGTGTGTATTCTTTTATATAATGAAGATTTTTCTGTTTTTAACACTTCTGTCCAATGTAATCCAAGATAACTTTTGTTCCACAGTCAGGCTCTTTACACTAACAATGCTGAATTATTCAGGCCTGACTTCTACCTTCAGGCTCCTGTGCTTCAATCATGCTGTTCCCTCTGCTGCTTCCGTTCTTCCCCATGTCTTCCTTTTTTTCTCGATTGATAGAATTCTAACTCATCCTTCAAGGACAAGATAAAACATCACCTCCTTCAAGAAGCCTTTTAAGGAACCATCAGTTGGTGTAATAGCTATGTCGCTGGACTCCCATGTAGTCGACCGTGGTTTGACTCCTGGACCCAGTGGCTTGCCAGGCATGTGTGCGTGTGTGTGCATGCCCAAGATCCTGAGAGGAAAATGGAGGAGAAGGGATTGCGGCGTGGCCATCCCCCTCGGGGGTAATTTCTTGCTTTCTGTCTCTCTGTCTTTTTGGTGAGCACACGTGCCCTATGGCAAAAACCTCTCCGGAGTTAAAAAAAAAAAAAAAAAAAAAGAAGCTTTTTAAACTTTACTTTTCTTCTTTCTCATAACTCTTCTACTTTGCAGGTATAATTACCTCTCCTGTGACATTTTGATCATAGTTTAATAATATGAATCCATAGATATTTGTTCTTACATATATGTTTCCTCTTTTATCATGCTAACTTGGAATAAATTAATTTTGTCCTGGCTATATGTGTATCTCTTTAGGGTTCCACAGAGACACAATCAATAGGATGGATGGACAGATGGACAGATGGACAGACAGAAGGGATTTATTAGGGAAATTGATTAAAATGTTTGTGGAAGCTGAGAAGTCCCACAAAAGGCAATCTGCAAACTAGAGGGCTAGGAGAGCTGGTATCATGACTGTTCAGATCAGAAGGCCTCTGGAAGCTGACGGTATAACTCTCAGTCTGAGGCTGAAAACTTGAGGACCCAGGGAGCCTCTAGTACAAATCCCAGAACTCTAAAGCCAGAGAATCTAGAGTTCTGATGTCCAAGGGCAGGAAAAAAATGGGTGTCCCAGCTCCAGGAGAAAGAGCACGCTCAGAATTCGCATTATATCTGCATTTTATTCTACTGAGGTCCAACAGCCAATGGGATTTGCCTACCCTCATTGAGGGAGGAGCTTTCCCATGCAGTCCACTAATTCACATGCCTGTCTCCTCTGGAGATACTCTCCCAGGCACATCCAGAAATAATGCTTTACCCGTTCTCTAGATATTTCTTAATCCAGTTAAATTGACACTTAAAATTAACCATTACAATCTCCAAGGTCTAACATAATGCCTAGTAGAGACCTAAGTGTTTGAACTGATCAAAACAACAAAAAAGGAAAAAGGGAATAATCACAGAATGGTATGTAGTAAACAGAGTCACTTTAACCTGGATTTGAGCTACAGCTCAAGTCTACTATTTGTTAACCTTGCAGAAGTTATTTAACCTTTCTGAGCCCTCATTTTCTCATTCATAAAGCAGAGATGATAAAAAATAATAGAACTCTTCAAATTGCCTTGAGAATTTAATAAGTGAACACTGTTGCTGTTACATAGAGCACTGCCTGATGCACAGTAAGCCCATGATAAATATTAGTTCCTTTTATAATAATCACCTTCTGTAGTGACTTAGGTCTCTTAGAAGGGAAGTGAAAATTATTATCAAAAGAACCACCAGTTGCTGGTAAGGAGCCTTGAGGAAGCACCATAAGTTAGGGAAGTATCAACAATTTTGACTCAAGCTGGACGCACATGACCCTGTCTACTGGGTAGCCCTCAATTTGCTTGCTCTTCTGCATGCTTTATTGATGAGTCAATGCAGAAGGACCCATGTCTCTAATGTCTGGCTCAGAACCCAGTGTCCTAGGGTATCATTTCAACTTGACCCAGCTATGGAAGCATAGGAGGCCTAGTCATCAGATAAGGGATATCGACATGGAGATAGAGAGATGGATTTGGTTTAGAAGAACAGAAGGCAGGTTTCAGGAGCTAGAAATGATCTTCCTAGCCTGGGCTTCAGTTAGGAGCATATATTAGAAGCAGACACTTCCTAAACGTAGAAGGGTAATAAGAGGGTTATAGGTACGGGTTATCCTACCACAGAGATGACAATCCAATCTGGTGTGAATTTCCCTCTACAAGTTGGATGAATGATAGGATGGGTTTGCTTGGCCAAGGAGATGCACACGTCCTCCTCCTTCTCCTGCTGTTGCTGCTGTAGGCTACTCATGGGGGGTGCCCACACTCATGACAGCTTGAAAGCACTAGAGAAAACCAGCTTCTAGGACAGGTTGTAAAATTCAGCAAGCATATTTCTTTGCAAGCACATAATGTCTTAGTTCCAAGAAGGCCCTTTTGTATCTTATCTAACTCTCCTCTTGGAGAGCAAAAAAATACATGCGGCAGGTGTACACTATGCATCAAGACCTCACCGTGCTGGTGAATTTATTTTATATTGCTGCCATAACAAATTACCACAAATTCATGGGCTTAAGCCACCCATTTATTATCTCACAGTTCTGTAGGTCAGAAATCCAGTGGGATTGGCATCTCTGCTTCAAGTATCACGAGGCTGAAATGAAGGTGTTGGCTGGGCTGTTTTTCCCTTTGGAGGTTCTAGAGGAGACTCCATTGCCAGGTTCATCCAGGTAGTTGGCAGAATTCAGTGTCTGTAGGACTGACATCCGGCTGCCATCTGGAAGTCTCCCTCAGCATGTAGAGGCCTGTCTGAGGTCATTCCATGTAGTCTCTGAACAGCTCAGAAGTAGCAATGGCATATGAAGTCCTTTACATGGTATTATGTCTCCACTGTCTTCTTTTCTTCTGCTACATCTCCATGACTGACTCTCCTGCCTTCCTCTTCTACTTTAAGTGCGCTAGTGATTAGATCAGGCCCATTTGGTAATCCAGGATAATCTCCCTATTTTAAGGTCTATAATCTTAATCACATCCACAGAGTCTCCTTTGCCTGAAAAGTAACATGTTTACAGGTTCCTGGGGATTACAGCTTGCAAATCTTGGGGAGACATTACCCTGTCTACCACAGTTAGTTAGGCTCTTCTCATGCTTATATCCCTTAATCCTCACAACTGTCCAAAAAGGAAATCATGTGTATATGTCAAGAAACTGAGGTTCAGGAAGGTTGTGCCACAATGAGTAAACGATGGAACTGGGGTTCAAGTCAGAGTGCACTCTCCTTTCTCTGTTAGAAAGAAGGAAGAGTGGAAGGCAAGTGACTGTGGGACCTACCCCCTCATTGCATTTCTCACGATTATCTCGCTAGTGCAGCTTTTCAATATAGCGAGGTCAGTGCTGTGTCCACCAAGGAGTTCCAGCTCTCTTCCTAGGGACATGATATATGTGTCTACTTGGTCCTGGCAGAAAACAGATGGCACACTCAAATGAAGTTTTTGAGGAGAAATTAATAAAGGGACTGTTGACGAGGCTGTAGGCGAGGTTATGGGAGACCTCTAAGAAATGGTGAGGCATGTTGGCTGGCAACAGCTGTCGCACCCTGGGTCTGCAGAAGCTCAGGGAAGAAAGAGTTACCAGAACCCTGAGAACAAATAGAGACTGAAAGGGGAATTGCCTGGCAGGATCTGTGACCTTCAACAGCAGAAATGGCCACCACCAGCCTGACAGGGAGGAAGGTGGCAAAGGAAGGATCCCGCCTCCACTCTCCTCCCAGCTCTGAAGTCCCACTGGTAGCAAATCTCAATTGGAAGCTAGAGGCAAAGGGAGTCTGTTTATGCAGCCTTGAAGTTTAGCTTTGCTGGCTCAAAGCAGAGTGTGGACAGGAAGAGAGCAGATCCGAGAGAGCCTATCCAGCACTGCAGGATTGTCCTTCCTCATCCCCTTGAAATTGAGCATGGCAATGTGACTTTCTTTGGCCAGTATATTAGTTTCCTAGGACTGCCGAAACAAATTACCATAAATGGAGGCTTAAAAAAAGGGAATTGGGGGACCAGTAGTTCACGTAATGGCTATATCACTGAACTTCTATGTAGTCGACTGCGATTTGAGTCTCGGACCCGGTGGCTTAAACTCACACCGGGCGCGTGTGCGTGTGTGCTCAAGATCCCGAGAGGAGAATGGAGGAGAAGGGATTGCGGCGTGGCCATCCCCCCTGTGGGGTGATGTCTTGCTTTCTGTCTCTCTGGCGAGCACATGTGCCCTATAGCAAAAACCTCTAAATAAATAAATAAATAAATAAATAAATAAATAAATAAATAAATTGGGTCAACCCCGTGGCATAGTAGTTAAGCTCTGTGCATGGGGAACTGGATCCCACAGGCCTATTGTGGTTCAAATCCTGGCCTGTGTCTTGAAAAACATGTTGGGTGTCCAAACTCCTGATGGGAAGGAGACATGGAAGAGAAAGAATTATATCATGACCATGCCCCACTGGGAGATGCTCTCTCTCTCTCTTTCTCTCTCTCTCACTCTCTCTCTTTCCGGCAAGTACACACACCCTCTGGCAATGAGAGAGAAAAAGAGAGAGGGGTGGCGAGGGAAAGATAAATGCTTATTCTCTCACAATGCTGGCAGTCATACTCTCCCTGATGGCTCTTAAGAAGTCTCTCTTGCTTCTTCTTACCTCCTGGTAGATGCTGGCAACCTCAGCATCTCTTGATTTGAGTGCATCACAGAGTCTCTACCGCTGTCTTTATATGGTCTCTCTCCATGTTCTCTCCTCTTCTGCATAAGGACACCAGTGAGTAGATTTAGGGCCTAACCTAAATCCAGTAAATCATCTCCAGATCGTTACCTAAATACACCTGCAACCACTATATTCAAATAAGAGCACATTCTGAAGTTTTGAGTGAACATGCATTTTGGGGGATACTATTCAACTTCTGATAGCCTCGCATGTGTTACTTCTGGGCAGAACTTGAAGACTTAATTTGTGACTTGCCACTCTCTCTTTGTGGTGCTAACCAGCAGTGCTGCTCCCTCAGCCTTGGTCTTCAGGAAGGATGAGGCAGACCTATTAGGAAGCAGAACAAGAATGGAACTGAACACGTCTTCTAGTATGAGGGATACCATGTATAGTATTTAAACACCAGCCTGCGGAGGTACTCCCAGCAGCCAGGACAACTCCAGACTTCCTTTCTGGTGCACAGAAACACTCTCAAATTCACCAAAACCACTGTACAGGCCACTCTGTTGTGCCTCTTAGTTCCAATTCTACTGGCAACATCTCATTGCACTACAGTTCCCCTTCAGGTCAAATATATAGAATCCTAAAGATCTTTAAAGACTGCCTTGTATATCCTTACAGGGGCAAGTTTCCTAGGGAGAAAAAAGAGAAAGAATGAAGGCTTATGCACATGGTGTTTTTTGACATTAGCTTCAGGGTAGCCGTCTGCATTTTAGATTGGTAGTCTCATCTCAGTTCTCTACCAGCAGCCAAGAATGTCTACTGATAAAACTTTGTTCTCTGCTTACATCAGGACTCACCAAAGTGTGCCCTGTCCTGCTCTCCAATGGCCACTTAGGTAAAACCACTTGAGAAACTGCCTCATCAGGTTTATTTATTAATGCCTCTGAGTTCTCTGAGTATACCAAACTACTTTTTTCTAATAGCAATCTGATTGCTGTGGGTATGGGCCACTGGACTCAAACGATTATTAGGTAGACTTTAAAAGTGAAATGGGGGCCTTCTCTGGTGGCACAGTCGGTAACAAATTGCAGTGCTGGAAACCACATGACTGACTGGTGGTTCAGATCCCTGGGTTGACTTGAAAACATGCCAGGCACATGCACACATGCCCTGAATCCTGATAAGCTGGAAGGCTGGGGAATGAGGACTGGGATTGATGAGGCCTTATCAAGGATGCCTCTTTCTTTCTCCCTCTTTTTGTTTCTCTCTCTCCTTCTCTTTCTCCCTCATGCAAATACATGCACTCTCTATCATGAATTAAAAAAAAAAGTTATGTGAACTAAGATAAAATTGTCAGAAAGAACAGGTGTACGTATTTGGAATCATGAGAAAGGTTGCCTGATGCCATGTCTCTTTAACCTCACTTATCTGCCTGCCTTGAATGGCAGCTTGGACTTGTTGGTTTCCAGAAGTTAACAGCTACTGCAGACACCGTGGCTTCCACCCTCTCTTCCCCAGCCACAAGCCCAATGAAGAAAAAGTTATGCAAAGATCAAGTTTAGAGGAGTGGTTCTCAAAGTGCATACCTGAACCAGCAGCATTCACGGCATCTGGGAACTTTTTAGAAAAGTAAAATCTTGGACCTTGCCTCAAACTTACAGTCTGGGGTGGGCCCAGCAGTCTCTGTTTTAGGGAGTTTTCCAGGTGATTCTAGTACACGCTAAAGTTTAAGCATCCCTGGCTTAGGTCCTAACCTGAAAAGATAGAAGGCCTGACTATGAAGTGATCTATCTTGGTAGAACATCATCAGCTCCTCCGTCCCCTCTGCCCACCTGCAGTATGGTGGAGAATCCATGGGAACCCCTGTTGTGGCTTTGTCTGAGCTGCAAATAACAAGTGTCAGTTGGACGGTGACAACACCCAAGAGACAGAACATCAGCTACAAGTGAAGACTCTCCTGTGGATATCAGGCCGACATCACATCCTGTGTTAAAGGTAGCTATTTTCTACTTCTGTTCTGATAGAAATCAGTTCATACTTCAAAAATGGGGCCAACAAGTGGCATGGTGATTAAGACTCTGGACTCCCATATGGCTGACCACAGTTTGCGTCCCAGACACGGTAGCTTAAAAATCACACCAGATATATATGTGTGGGTGCCCAAAATCCCAAGAGAAGAATGGAAGAGAAGAGATTGCGCCATGGCCATTTACCCAGGGGATGGTTTCTCACTTTCCCTCTCACTGTCTCTCTCCACGAGTACACGCATTATATAGCAAAAACAAAAGGTTTGAAGATCTCTTCAGTTCTGTGTTTAGGGAGTTTAAAATAGTTTGAGAAACTAGTTTCACTGTAGCTTACAAATGTCGTTTTTTTTTTTTTGTATCTATCAAAATACTTAGTATCTGCAATCTGTGCTAATCTCTTGTGAGTTTCCATTTACAAAATGCCATTTTGATAAAAAACAGTAAGCCTCCATATGGTTACACTATTGTGTCTCTTTGTTTAGGGAATGAAGTAAACGAAACCAGGGGATCCCCTGGAGGTATGGCAGATCGATACCCATTTCACCAGGTGGCAAATTCAGAAAGGCCTCCATGGCAGTATGTGGAGTAGTGGGGAAATGAGTCATACTTTATCGTGATTCTGGAGAAGACAGTTTGTTCATTTTCCACAGCCACATGAGCTGACCACCTGGAGCTGATTCTGGTAAGCTAAAGTAAAAGGCTGATCCTAACCTGCTCAATCCTTGAAAGGTAAACAACATTTTGTACACAGTCCAAGCATGAGCCCTGTGTTCTCTAACATGTATGAATTTGTGTAAAAATAGAATAGAAGCATGTGTTTATTTTACATTGAAATCTACACATAACTTTTTATAATACACGGTTTCCATGAACTTACTTTTTTTTTGGAGAGGTTTTTGCTATAGGCAACGTGCGCTCGCCAGACAGACAGAGAGAGACAGAGAGACAGAAAGTGAGAATTCACCCCCTAGGGAGGATGCCCACGCCGCAATCCCTTCTCCTCCATTCTCCTCTCGGGATCTTGGGCACGCAAGCACACGCGCCCTGCGTGAGTTTAAGCCACCGGGTCTGGGACTCAAACCGTGGTCAACTACATGGGAGTCCAGCGACATAGCCATTACGCTAACTGCTGGTCCCGTCCACGAACTTTTTGAAGACTCCTCCCACAGAGCTCCTAATCTGTCAGACTTGCTAATAGATAAATTCCTCTTCTTCAATCCTTCAGATGACTCTCTTTGTATTTTGGTTACCAGGAGGTATGTACAGTCATCAGAGGGACAGAGACAGAGGGAGAGGGACAAAGTACCCCCCAACAGAGCATCGTCACACCGCAATCTCGTCTTATTTCTCCATCCTGTCAGGATTTGGGCACACATGCACACACACCCAGTATGTTTTTCAACTCATTGAGGCAAGGATTAAATCCATGCAGCAAGCTCTCTTGGATCTAGCTTCCATAACCATCAGGCTATGGGGCCAGCCCCAAATGATTATAATTTTGATAGTCAGCACTGGATCATCTGATGGTCCACTAGTTTCTTTGCACAGAACAAAGTGTGTGAACCAGGAATTACTTTTTTTTTTTGAGCAAAAGGGTTTCATTTCTCAATATTTTCTGCCTCTCCCCTTTTAGAACTCTCATTGAATTGATTTTGTAGTATTATAAGTATAGCCCCAGAAGGCCAATGGAATGTGCTTGTGATTTGTGCTCCAATAATCTGTGGCCCCCACCCCCTCACCAATCTTCCCTTTTGGGTGGCTGAACCTTGTGCCTACCCAACTTCCTTTTCCTCCACTAAGAAGTGACTCTGGGCCTACAGAACTGTAAGCTGGCTGAAAAACTATCGAGGCACTCAGGGAAGGAACTGACAGTAATAGAAGTAAGTGTGTGCATACAGCACAAGTGACGGCTTGTTTCCATGCAAGTTTGGATGTTCCCAGTGGCTCTAATTGGCGCCCAGCATACATGCGCACGTGCATACTCAGCTGGGGCTATACATGACTGGACTCACTCTGCACAGGCAGAGTGCACAGCTGTCCACAGGCTGATGTGCTTTTGCTTTGGGGACCTCTCCAGGATGACCCCAGATGGTCCAGACCCAGCACCTGACAGGAATTCCCACATCACTTACCTCTTTGGATTCAGGCAGTGAAAGTTGTTTAAATGCAAATTATTTTCCAGGAGGTAGAGACATTATTATTCATTAATATCTGGGCTTTAATGAGTTTATCAGCTTAAAAGAGAATGTGCCATGGTCTTTTGGTAATAGAAAGCCAGAGAGATATGTTTTAATAATGTTGGGTGGGAGAGGAAAGAGTCAGTTCTGAAATACAGAACTACAGCCGTAGACTCAGGGAATAGCATGAAGGCTCGAGCTATGTGACAGGAAGTAAGGTACAAAAAGGGAAATGGGCAAGTGAAAGTAAAATGCCTTCGCAAGTCCATAGGTCATCTCTGCAATTCCCAGAGACCGTTTCCTTTTTTAATATATATTTTATTTTATTTTAATTTCTTTCATACATTCAATCACATACCTCTCTTAGCTTTACAAGTGATGTGTGTGATTGAATGTATAAAAGAAATTAATATAAAAGACATTAAGGAGAAAAATATAGAGGCAAGACATTTCTGGAACAAAGAAATGGGTCATCATCTGTTGACGATAATGTGTATAATATCCCCAGAGACTGTTTGCTAAGTAGGACTGTTTGTGGAAGCCTTGCTGAGACAAGGGCACATTTCGTTTATTCATTTACTAACCTTTTTCTCCCGTTAAACCTTTCCACTATTTTGTTTTCCTGATAACACTCACAGCACCTTGTACATACCTTGGCACTGAGGGTGTATCAGGAAAACCAAACAGCAGAAGCCCTTGCCTCCATGGAACTTGACTTTAGTAAAGAGATAAGATGACACAAGGGACAGGATAAACAAGGGAGGGGTGATAGATGCCGTGGAGGAAAGCGAAGCATCGAGGTACGCCATTTTAAATACGGTGGTCAGAGAGGGTTCACCAGAAGGTGACATTTAAGTTAAAAGCGAGCAAGCCAGGCAGATGTCGAAGGATGAAGTTGTTTCAGACAGAGAGAGCAGTAAATGTAAGGCCCTGCCTCAGAAGCATGCCTGCTTATTTGGAAAGAGGAGGGTGTGGGGTCTGTGTGGCCAGAGCAGAGTAAACAAAGGGAGATTAGTTGGAGATTGGACAGGGAACTCATGGGGGGAGGGGGGGAGGTTGGGAGGTCCAGTTCACACAGCCTTGGGAGACTTTAACTGAGCCTCTGAGTAAGAAGGTTTTGATCAGTGAGCGCAGTGCTATTCTCCAGCTTACAGTTTAATAAGCTGTGGCAGGGTTGGCAATCTTTTTCCATAAAGGGCCAGAGATAGTAAATATTTTTCAGGCCATGAGGTCTGTGTTACACTCCCTGATTCCACTGTGGTAGCACAAAAGCAGTCATTGGCAAGGTCGCCCAATGAGCGTGACTGCATTCTGTAAAATGTCATTTACAGAAGCATGTGTCAGGCCACATCTGGCTCATGCTAACCTTGGGGCCATTGCAATAATCCAGAAGAGAGATGGAGGTGTGCTGGATCAGAGCCCCAGTAGAAGTGGTAAGAAAGGGTCAGATACTGACTGTATTTTGAAGACAGAGCTACCAGGATTTACCTTTACACCAGATGAGAGGAATGAGAGAAACCAACTCATCAAGAATGCTCCCAGGTTTTTGGCCTGAGCAACTGGAGAAATAAAAGTCATCGCTGCTGAAATGGTGAAAAATAAAAAAGAAAAAAAAAAAAAAAGAGAGGAGGTGGGTGAGGAGTGGGACTTAGTTTGGGACTGGAAAATTTAAGACGCCTTTACGATGAAGTATCAAATGAGATGCTCCCTAGATCTCCTTCCAGCTCTGATACTCGGTAACTCCACCACTGAGAGAATAACATCTACCCCAGCATTTCTGCTGTGATGGTGTTCTTCAGGGAGTCCTTCCACTCTGCATTACTCCACCTTTCCAAAACACAGTTGGTGATTATGCTAGCTAGAGATCAGTGGCTGGAAGGAAGAAACTCTGAAAGAAAGGCAGCTGCCAGCTGAAACTAGCAGGGGGACTTGGAAGAGTGGCATAAATGGTATATGTGCCCAAGGAGTCTTGTGGGCTGCAGGCAAATTCCTGTGCATCTGTTTCCTGGAGGTTATTCACAATGTAAGATTGTCAGTCGACCAAGCTATGAATATTGAACTCATTTTCAGAGGAAAGCAAAGCAACTTTTTAAACTTTGCATCTATGGTCAGAATGGCCCCACTTGGAATGCACTCACCCCTGCAGAGATTCCCTGAGTCATACTCTACCCGACGACCTCTACACCTGGCAAGACACAACCATGGTCACTGCCACTAGCTCCTTCAGAGACATTCTTCCTCCCTCTCCTCTCTCATCTCACCTCATGGGGAGATACATCGTCTGCTCAAATTCTTTCCTCCCAAGAAGTGGCTCTGTGCCAGTCGGGTTGCTTGCTATGTAGATCCGGTAAACCACTTTGGGAGTGAGCTGATAGTAATATATTTAAAATATGAGCATTTATCAGAAGCAGCAGATGGAGGCAGCAGAGTGGAGCTCCCAGAACCGAGGGCACGAAGTGTTTCATTCAAGTGTAAAGCGCGCACCATCTAGACTCAGCTGGCACCAGCTCACGAAACCACTGAAGAGGAGGGGAAAAACAGGCCACCTTTGTGCTAGGTCCAGGAGGTCACAGCGTTCCCTGACCTTGAGTCCTTAGTGCCTCAAAGGCAGCATTCACTCTAGAATGGAAAGAAAATTCTTCTTGGTTGATCTTAATATTTTTACTTCCTTAGCACTTAGTAATTCAATAAAAAATTCTGAAGCTCAGCATAAATGGCAATGTAGATCATTTCATTTGGGTATGTATGCATTAACTAATGTGACAAATGTTTATTATGTGCCTCTGACATGACAGAAGCCATGGATAATACTCTAGGACAGATAAGAACACAGCAGATATATATGTTGTTAATTCTTAAATACTAGACGTGTCGAAAGTATTTTACTTTCCATTTTTTTACCACCATCCCCACCACCCAACCCTAAAAGTACAAATATGAGAGAACTTCAAAGTTTGTGGAAAATAGAATTAAATTATGAGTTTATTCTAGTGCAAACAATTTTGAAATCCATGCTTAGTTTTTCTCAAAATGTGCATTTTCCACGAAATTTTTGAAGACCACCCCCTCATATATTTGAAATTTTTCTATTTACTATTTGAAATTTTAAAAAGTATTTTTAAAATAAATTTCTTCAGGGTCCAAGCTCAATACATTAGTGGGAAAATGACAATGATATTAATTTTAAATCATCTGTTTGAGAAGAGTACTATAATAATTCCATTCCGTTTTAAAAGGTCACTTTTACCAGTTGATCTCAGGCCTGCAGAAGGGTCCAAGTCACCCAATGAAGGGTTTGTAGGTTATACCTATAATCACAAACTTTTGGGTAAATGCCTACCTTCCATTATTTTGGGTGGATTTTGAAAAGTGCCATCATTGAAGAAATCATATATTTAAAAAAAAAAAGAAGAAATCACATATCTTTTCATATTGCCTTTTTATGATAATCTCAAAATCTGAACCTTGTACCATTCCATGTGAAAGGTATGGATCTCACCCTCTGAAAAGTTCTCCCCAAATCCCTTGGTCAGAATTAATCATTCCTTCCCTCAGTAGCACCAGGGAGGCATAATGTCACATTTAAATATACCAAGTTATGCACTTAGCTCTTTCTCATGATGCATTATGAATTCATTGAGGGAAATGTAACTCTGTCTGGCACACAATTGCCACTGAATATGTTGAATGAAAGAATATAGACTGTGCAAAAATACTTGAGGTTATATAAAAAGGGAAACAAACAGAGATTGCCAAAGGTCTACTTTTATCATACTGTCTTCAGGGTAAAGTGGATGCATCAGAACACTTTCCATTCTCATGGATGACATATCTTTAACTGACCTGCTTAGAGTTGTTCTTTCCCTTTTCTTTCTTCCTCTTTTTTCTCTTTTTTTCTTTTCTTCCTCATTTTTACTTTACTTTTCTTTCTTTCTTTCTTTCTTTCTTTCTTTCTTTCTTTCTTTCTTTCTTTCTTTCTTTCTTTCTTTCCTTCTTTTCTTTCTTTTTTTTTTTGGCACATTTATTCAACAACCTTTGCTAAACATCTACTGAGTTTCAGATGGTGTGATTTTCTGGGGGTACAAAGAAGATTAAGAGACATTCCTGTTCTAGAAACAGGGAGTGCACCACCAGAAGCTGAGCCAGCTCTACGTTCAGGGGAACAGAAGACAAACGGGGAAGGGCCAGAAGAGCACCAGTAACGGAGAGGGTGACTTTGTAAACTGAAACTTGAAAGAACTTTTTTTCTTTTCTTTTTTTTGAGAGTTTTTTTTTGCTATAGGGCGTGTGCGCTTTCCAGAAAGATAGAGACAGAGAGACAGAAAGCGAGAAACCACACCCCGGGGGGATGGCCGCACTGCAATCCTTTCTCCTCCAGTCTCCTCTTGGGATCTTGGACAGGCACGCACATGCACCTGGCGTGAGCTTAAGCCACCAGGTCCAGGACTCAAACCACGGTCGACTACATGGCAGTCCTGCAACATAGCCATTACACCAACTGCTGGTCCTGAGACTTGAAAGAAGTTTTGAAGTGCATCAGGCAGGAGAGTTATTGACCCCATAGGAGTTAGGACAGTGTAGTAGGCATTACTAGTAGTTCCTGTTGGAAAGATAGCTTGGGCATTTGGTGGATAAAGGCCAGAGATGCTAGGTGTCCTGTTGTGTATGGTTGAATCCTGAACAACAAAGACCGTCCTGCATCCAGCATGACATTGGACTTCCCCATAGACGTTCACATAAGTGAAAATCTGGTTATAATTATCTGAGCCTAAAGCCTAACTCATGTTATGCATAAACACAAAGCATGCTTTTCCAGTTTTAATAAAAACTGCATTTTCCAGGTATGAGTCTCTAGTGAATCAAAGGAATGAAAGGATAACATTTACTAACTACCAATGACTCTCCAGCATGTAAAAACAGTTCATTTTTAACATAATTAACGTTTTAATTGACTTTTAAATATAATTTCAGCATCTTGAAAGTCACACCACTGACATCTCATTGCTTATGGTATTTAACACTGAAATATACACCCGAATTGATCTTCATTTGTATGCGCTGGTCCCCAGTGACTCTAGGCAAACATTTCATTACTTTGTTGTGTCTTTGAATCGAGTTATGTGCAAATATTTACCTACAGAAATACATATTTTATTTCATAAAGCTTTCCTGTTTTCATATTACAGTTAAAACATTATATTGGTGCTATGGTTTATTCCCCCCTCCCCCCAATTCCCATGTAGGAATTTTGCTTGTGAAGGTATCGTGAAGAGAAAACCTAATACCTGCATGGTGTTAAAAGGTGGGGCCATTGAGTAATTAAGAGGTTAGGGTGGGACCCTATGACTGATTCCTGGTAGGTTTATAAGGAGAGGGAAGGAGACCAGGAAATATACATGGACACACACCATGCTTTCCATGCAGCCAGAAGAGCCTTGCCAGAAGTGGCCACTGCACCTTAGATCTCAGACCTCCAAACCCTCAATGCTGAATAAAGTACCATCCTCTTTAATTACCTACACCCAGGTATTTCCTGTTACCAGCAACACAGCAGACTAAAATGATCAACTTTTTTAAAATGATAAATATAAATTTCTTATGTTATCCACATTGACTTCAAAAATTTAAAGGACAGTTTATTTTTAGTAATAAAAAGGGATGATTGGGTCTATAAGGCTGAAAGCCAGTGAGCTGGACAACGTAGGAGGAAAGAAGATTCTAGACAGTACTTCCAAAACTTTAATGTGTACAAGAATCACCTAGGGATCTTGTTAAACTGTGACTACTGTTTCTAAGGCCTGATTTCTGCATTTTCCACCAAGTTGCCAGGAGACACCAAATCTACTGGTCTGTGGACCACACTTGCACAGAGGAAGCTGCAGGTACAAAGGTATGGAGGCTTAGAAGAATGTTTCTGGAAAATAATCAGTAATTTGGTAATCAGAGCACAAAGTGTGTGTTAGAAGATGGTATCTGAGATGAGGCCGGATCAGAGTGCAGGACCTTGCTCATGCCTTAAAAGCCTTGTTTAAGCAGAGCTATGTAATAGTAGATCCTGGTCCCACCATGTAGGATGGCTCTGCTGATGGTAGGGATGCAGTGAGGTTGCTTTTACAGTTGTGCTTCCAAGAAATACTGGGGCCTTGAACTGAAGGAGTCACAGCAGAAGGGAAAGAAAGAAGACGAACTTGGTATTTTCGTGTAAGATTTACTGAGACGGTAATGGGGGCCTGCTTTAGTGAAGCTGACTCCATCTCATTAATCAAAATTGCTTTCCTCTCACCCTGATACTCTTTGTTTGAGATCTCTCTCAGGAACTCCAAGGAGACAAACAATCAACCTGAGGCTTGAAACTATGAGGGACATTTTGCCCAAGGAACTGAAACTCCTGTCCTAGAGACAAATTGCTTGTTTATATAGCCAACTAAAAATTAAATTGGCCTATTAAACTTTTTGTACATTGCCATTAGCTCCCGCCCTCTCCTAAAAATACATCTCTTGGGTCACCGGAAAAGTTATGACACATTTTTGAATAGAAAAACACATCATAACTTTTCTGATCACCCAATATAAAGTGAGAGACCAGTCCAAGATATTCTTACACATCTTCCTGGGTAGTCACATTATAATAAGTTCTCCTTTCTTGCTCACCAACAACTTTGCTTTCTATGTGTCTTCTTGAGAGATGAAGGTTCAGACCTCCTTTGAATCTCTGGACTTTGGTATAGGGTTCCGCACTCAGCAACAAGACTTGGTGATTGGTGGAGTATGGCTGGCTAAAAGGAGAGGGGATCAAGGATAAATTGTCGTTTCCTGGCTTGTAGTCTGGGTCTATACCCATGCCACTAACAAGTATGAGGATGATAGAAGAAGTGCAAGACAGTTGGAGAAAACTGGCTTTCAGACATGCAAATTTGAAGTACATCTCCAATCAAAAAATAGACAGATACCTGACTGTCTGATGTGAGGACTTTTATTAAGAGCCGACTGATTTCATTCTAATGCATCACTCACGTAGGTATGCTCATTTGCCCTGTTCTAGTAGATTCCCGAGAGAGTGGGGGCAAAAAACGTGCCATCACTGTAAGTCCATAGTTGTCCAGCCCATATATCAGGGCGAGAAGAAAGTGGGCAGTGCTAGCATACTTATTTTATTACAGAAACGCATTAAGTATTATAAAATTGGGGGTCAGAGAGGACACAGGTGGATTGAATTTGCTACCTCACAGAGTTTGTCTGTCTCTCCCTCCTTTCTCTCTCTCTCCTCACTCACACAACACACATACATACACCGCACAGCTGTCTGTCTTTGCTGTGTCCCCCGTTTACAGACATTTGCATGGTAGTGAATTTAAAGGAGTCCTGTGAGATAATAGACTTGGTGTCCCCATTCTTTGTGTCAGATTCCATGGATGCTGTGAGTAGTCCATCTTCATTGAATTCTAGGGGCCAGGTCCTTATTCATAACCTTTAACTGGTTTATACTACTGGGGTGTCACGATAACTTTAGGGAAAAAGTTTATAAACAAAGAAATGGAAGCCTATAGAGGTCAGGTAATTTGCCTAAGGTCACACAGAGAAAAGAAAAGGCAGATAATTTCTTTTCTCACTCATTCTGCATGCATTTTCTCTAATCTCTTCCAGTCATACTAAAATAATGGCTGTTCCCCAAATACACCATGCTGCTTCACACTTCTGTACAACACTGAGTATATCCTGTTTGGAATCCTCTCTCTCATATTCAACTTTCCAAGCCCTACCTGGGGACCCCCATATCTGTCAACACTCTCCTAGACTCCTAACTTGATGCCCTGTGCACATTCTGCTTCTCGTGGGTGCCGGACTACACTGTCACTGCATGGTCACTGGTCCCTTCCTCTCTCGGGCTGTGGGCTCCTCAAGGGCAGGGGCCAAGTCTTAGTCCTCTGCTGCCATTGTGCCTACTATACACAAGAGTCCAGTAACATTTCCAAACTGAAGTGCTATGTAGTCAGTATGGGCTTCTCTGTGAATTTCACTGGCTGTGATGGTGCTTGGGAACTATAAATTCATTTCTAAAGAAAATAGGCACTACCAATGAACAAAAAGGTAATGTGGAAAATCATCGTCTTACAACATAATCTGTATAAATAATTTTTTATGAAAAGGTGATTTCACAATGGACTCCCTCCTCTCCTGTAATTTTTCACCATTAATATTAGGCTTCATTGGGACCAGCAGTTGGTGTAATTGCTATGTTGCTGGACTCCCATGTAGTTGACCGTGGTTCAAGTCCCGGATCTGGTGACTTGAACTCACTCCAGGCATATGTGCGTGCGTGCCCATGATCCGGAAAGGAGAATGGAGGAGAAGAGATTGCGGTGTGGCCATCCCCCTGGGGGGTGATTTCTCGCTTTCTCTCTCTGTCTGTCTCTCTGTCTTTCTGGAAAGCATGTGCCCTATAGCAAAAACTTCCCCCCAAAAAATTAGCTTCTACCGGTTCGCATCCCAGACCCGGTGGCTTGAAACACGCTGGGCGCGTGTGCGTGCATGCCGAAGATCCCAAGAGGAGAATGGAGGAGAAGGGATTGCAGCGTGGCCATCCCCCTAGGGGGTGATCTCTCACTTTCTGTCTCTCTTTCTCTCTGTCTGTCTGGCAAGCGCATGCGCCCTATGGCAAAAAAAAAAAAAAAAAAAAACTCTCCAAAAAAAAAACCTTAGCTTCATTATTTAACTTTAACTTATTAAGAGATAATAATTAATTTTAAATTTAATTCTTATTAGAATTTTAGTAAATAAGAACATTTAATAACCACAGTGATATGGTTCAAAAGATATATATTTTTGAATTTATTTATTTATTTTTGGCTATAAGGCCCACGTACTTGTGAGAAAAAGAAGGAAAGTAAAAAATAATCCCCTAGAGGAGAAAGTAATACTGCAATTCCCTCACCTCTGGTCTCCTTTCAGGATTTTGGGAAGCACGCACATGAGCCTGAAGCGATTTTCAAGCCACCAGGTCTGGGACTTGAACCTCATAATCAGCCATGTGGGAGCTAGTGCATTAGTCTTCACGCTACTTGCTGGCACATAAGAACACTTAATTCTTAACATAATTAATTTTTAAATAAAATCTAATTGAAATATGTCTGTTCTTTTCTCTTATTTCTTTCATGAGGTTTGTGTGAAGTAAGATAGACTTCCTTTGGGGTTATAAAAAAGTGTGGGACATTGATATCCACTTAAGAAAACCAAATATAATTACTTTTAAAATACAAATAAGCATAATTGGGTTTGAACATTAAATTCCATTGTTCCATATCATGCATCTAATTTTATCATAAATGAACAAGTACTTAAAACATCTAAACATCTTTTGTTGTTTTTGTAATTCAGATGATGTTCTAGAATGGGATTCCACACATGCATTTATATTTTTCCCAAGCTACTGCATTAGTCAAGATCTTCACTCACTCAGATAAGCCCATGCAGTATAAGTTCATTTGAAGATCCCATTTCTCAAATCTTGGTAGCCCTATTTCAAGGTATATCATGGCAGTCAATCGAGAATTAGAGGAAGCAACTGAACTGAAAAATATGGCACATGTCCCTAAATTGGTGATTTTAATCAATGAATTTAACATTAGCTTTCATATAAAAACTAGCACAGATCTCTTAAGGAGAAGAATGCAAATGTCTCATGAAAATTTAAAGATAATAACAACATGAGACTGCAAAAAAATGTTG